CTGAACTATTATATACAAGAGTAGAAGCATTTGCCAGCCGGAATTAATCGTAATCAATCCTTGCCAATATCTTCGCATTGATGGCTGTGTTCTTGTCCTTCTCTTCATGACTCCCTTGTATATCCTTACATGACTTTTTACACGACTAATTGTATAGGGGAAGCTATTATTAAACTGATGTCTTTAATTAACTACCCCTTCATCTTATCACGAATTAATATTAGTATTAAAATTCTATTTACGGATCCGTGAAAGTTTCCGTCCTCCATTTCTGGATGGTCGGGCGACACTCTGCAAAATGCCATGGCCGTTTCTCTCGTCCGCATTTGCATCGCATTTCTTCATTCGGATGTTGAAATCGTCTGTGATAGCTAGCGAAATCACCATGCCCAGTCCTTGCCGCAATGAGGCGGTGATATGCCCATCGAGGTAAAGCTAGCTCCGGAGGGCGTTTTCTTCGCATCAGTAAGTCCAGATCTTCATACCTGTCCGATCTATTTTTATGCTACCAATCTTCCGCGAGTTTCTGTACTCGTATTGTGACTTGGCGTTTAAGTCCTGCGAATGTCAGGACTTTGTCGGATTCCTCCTGAGTGCACTCTGGTCTCGGGATATTTCCTTCCCTGGTTTTTGATGCAAGGGCTGCCTTTGCAATTGCGTCGGCTTTATCGTTCCCTTCAACACCACTGTGTCCCGGAACCCAGTGGACTTCTACGGCAGGCTGAGCCTTGGATAGTTCAATAAAATTCCGGACCTCAGACTGTGAAGAGCTCGTTCTACCACTCACAAGGGCTCTTACCGCCTCTTGATTGTCGAGGAGCATCTTGATACCTATACTACCTCCAATTTCCGACGCCGCTTCTAGGCCTCGAACTGCCCCGACGATTTCTGCATCAAAGACCTCTACTCCTGGGAGAAAATTTCCACCACTCGCTATGAGTTCTCTGTCCCTGTATATAGCATAGCCATAGGCTGAGTATGCTGGACCAGTCGATGACCCATCAGAATATACACACAGCGTCCCTACAGGGAGATTTCTAAGCCAATGATTAGTCCGCTTCGACTTTTCCTCCTTGTCGCATTTGGCTCTAGCCATAGCCCTCGCGATCATCGGTTGGTAAAGCTGTCCAGGCCCTTCTGATGCCGGTAGGTTGAGGTTACCATTCTGAAGGCGTGTCAGATATCGCTCTGGAAACTTGAAGACACGATCTTTTTGCCCCTCTCTCAGTTTGAGTCGCTTAATTGCTTCCTTTGGTGTCTCAGCTGCCCTTGACGACAAAGGGTGATAGCTGTCGAGTCTGCGGATTCTGGCTGCATTTCGGAGCTGTCGCTGCTGTAGCATAATTTCTGCCGGTAGTATCCCTGACTCACGGTGCAGAACTATATTTGGTGTAGTTCGCCACACTGGCAGTGCGGCTCGAACAGCAGTCAAAATAGTTCTATCTAGTAACTTGAGGTGCCATCCGACACCCGTACTTACTCTTTTATCTCGTACCGTCGTGATACGGGTGAGTACAGGCCACCAAGCTTCAGCGCCATAAATTGCCGTACTGACTACACTTGCGTTCACTGCACGGATTAATAGTCCCGGAGCCGCACCTCGTTGGACCCTATTAATACTTCGTATAAAGTGAGATGGTCGTTGTGCCTTATTACACCATTCTTGAACATGTTGTCTAAACGTCAGTTGGGAATCGAGCCAGACCCCGAGCCATCGAATGTACGCGGAAGGCGTAATAAGCTGTCCCTCAACCCTGACCGCGAGGTTGGATGAGTCTAGTTTCTTCTTCGGTCCTCCTCCTATAACCAGGAGCTCGGACTTAGAAGGGTCGAACCTTATCATGTGCGTTGAAGCGCGTTGGATTATCCTGTCTACTTCTACCTGGGCAGTCTCAACAGCCTCACTAGGATTTTTACCGACGCGAACAATGGCAATGTCATCTGCATATCCGAATATACAGTTTGGGGTTCCATCTTCAAGTAGGATTGAGATGTATAACATAAATAAAAGTGGCGATAGTGGTGATCCTTGGGGAACTCCGCACTCAACAAGCTTCTCATCAGTTACACCTTTTTCGTGTCTCACCAAAACTTTTCGTTGTTTCAGAAATGATTCTACCAGGCGACAGAGTAGTACTGGCCAGCCCTGACTTCGCATTCGTGCGAGCAGCCGATTGTGTAGCACTGCATCGAAGGCACCTTGTATGTCCAGCGTGACCATCTAGATCATCCTTAAGTTTATTGTTATTTCATTTTATTGTCCTATCTGAGTCCATGAATATGTTAGACAACAAGGAAGTCTATCATTAAGTACAGATTCCCAAGACTTTAGTGATCCTGAATTTCTAGTTAACCGGTAATAACCAGTCACTCAATTATCGCACGGTAGCATTTCCCAGCAAGTGGATTCCGGATGCCACTAAGCCTGATGTCGCCTAGCCAAGCTTTTTGTTTTAAAATCATTTAATGTGTTTTCAGCTATCTAGCTATGACACATGACCGGTGCTATGTGTACATTGAGGATGGCTCTTGACGTCAGAGACACTCATACTCTGTATTTCATTCGCAAATACCACTATAAGGTATGCTTGCTTACACAAAAAGTCGACCCTCCTCCGTAAGTACCCACCAAAGGGAATTTCGAAACCTTTGGTGATCCAAGCATGCCTTCGTCATCCATGTATACCAGCGCCGCGAGAAAAGTGGTTATGTTTTACTGGATCTGAACCAGTAATCTACTGTCTCAAATGGGATATGTGTCCAAGCTATCCAGACTCAACTTGGCAGACCAGCCAAGACAATGTACCACCGCACCATCCAACCATGGCAGTTTTTACAGTGTCGCCTGCACTCTCGCAACCGAAGTCTTGGCGCTCACAAAGCCCAATTTGTACAAGCTCCTTGCCAAAGTTCGGAATTCCTCGCCCGTCGAGGTTATATCCTCCCTTCGCATCATCTTGTCAACTCGCCCTGATCCCTCTCACGTCCATCCCAAAGAACTGTCTGCCAGATTTGTGCGCCACGCTTTGCTTCCTCCTGCGGGTATAAATATCAGCGTGGGCGCGTATTTCGTGGTCAACTGAGGCCAGAGAAGGTCGAAGGGCGGTGTGATCATTGGAATAAGGATGTACTAGGTCGTACTTGTAGACTTGATGAGGCTCAGGTATGAATCGGACTCTTTGGGAGTGAAGATTTGACGTGGTTGAGTAGTTTGAATCATTGCCTCGTGGGACAACTTGTTCGGTATTGCGAAATTTGACTGAACTTGGCTCTGGGAGAATATTTCACTCCCAGGTTCGTACAGGATACTGCGTACAGATGTTCAGTCTTGCCCTCCGCCCAGCCAAGCTTACTCTTATGCAATCGAATTAACATAATCGATCTTGATGATCATACCCAGAAATCTGAACCTTCACACATACTGAATCTAGATTTCCAAAAAGTCCCAATCGCTTTCGCCGTATTTATCGGCTTCATCTCCAAACACATTCCCCTATCACCATTATCATGAAGCTAACACCGATCAGATCACATCGTAGGGTCGGGGCCCTACTCATCACCAACCCTTGATCATGGGATAAAAGCAATCCGATGAGTTACCGGGGCAGACCCATCACCCGATGCGGAGATGGTGGATTGGATCAAGTTGGCCGTGAATGTTACAAAGAAGGTAGATATTGTGACGCTCTGTTTGAGCTTGCAAGTCTACTGTATATAGTAAGATAGATATCAATAATACAGATCAAATAATTTAAATTTTTAGGCCAGTTGGCGCTGTGGTAAAGCTATCTAACTATAGTTACATGTCTTCTGCGTGAGGAATGTTGCACGTGCACTCATCGTGTAGTCCGTGCGTCACACATGAAACTCAGTCTGCGCATCACATTTGATCCCGGTGTTTAGACCTCTCCAGGCTGGGGCTGCAGGTATTTTGGGACTTTTCCCGCACGCATTTTCCGTTGCTACCATTTCTATTTTTTTGGGAAGAAGATACCGTGTAAATAATTGGTGAATTCCACGCTCAAACATTGAGACAAATGGTCATCTATCTCGGGCAATATATCAATTATCGTACAACTAACAAAATAGGATAGGAACACTGCACAAGGTGTGGCCTGGGCCAAAGAGGAGCCCATTGTGCTAGATGATCTATGACTGAAGTAGCACGATAAAAAGCATCACTCACTCAAAGTTTTTAAATCTTCCATACAGTGGGTACTCAAAGATTAGGGTCGACTGTTCTGCGCACACAGATATACCTCATTGATATTTGCAAGTGAAATCTAGAGTACGATTAATTATTATTATTATTATTTCATTTTATTGTCCTGTCTGAGTCAATGACTATGTAGGACATGCAGGTCCTCTCTGCCTACAGGCCAAGGATACCTACACCAGTAGTATATCCCCTCCTGTGCCTCCCATACAGCTCCCCTCAAACAGTACCACCCCTCACAAGTCCTCATTCGATCATACACTTAGAGGAGCCCTTTGCCCTTCATTGTCTCCCCTCTCCAGCCAACGAAACGATGGCTAGAGTACGATTGTTTGAAGGGAAAAAATTAATTCAAAATGTAGACGTAGCGCTAGTCATGAGAAGTGGCCATTTGGCTGAAAGCACATGAAATGACGAAAAAAACGAACTGACTTTGTCATCGGCAAAATACTTCCTGTAGGCAGCACAACTGATACCAACTAAAATACCACTTTCGTCTTCATGTAGAAAAAAAAGATTAATTTCACTCCAATGGAAAAGTAAGACGAAAATCTATCCAATCAAAGTGGTATTGAGATGTTACTAATTGTCAAATCAAGACTTTATAGAGGCGTCTCTCAGCCTCGATGCCACGATCCGGAAAATAATACTAGCCGGATCACTTGCATAGATTATCGATCCTTAGGGTGAGCGTGGGCCAGGATTCCAACTTGCCATCAAGGCACTAAATAGAACCGTCACCCATCCAGTCACATTCACCGATCCCAGCTCATTCGATATTACAATGCTTGATCCATTTTTTCCACCTCCGGCTTTCCTTCAATCTTTCATTACTCCAGTAAGTGAGTTCTTCAACCTCAGAACACTACCACTTCATATTCATGAAATAATCGCCGCCTTCCTACTGCATTACACAATCTTTGAATATGTTGCTCCATTTGCGTCAAGCAAGCTCCTACCCGCCAAATACGGAAAGCTTCCTATCAATAGCAAACTGCGATGGAATATTCATTGCGCATCAATGGTTCAAAGCGTTACTATTTCCATCCTAACTATATACACCTTGGCCTTTGACAAAGAAAGACTGAACATGACATCGGAGGAGCGAATTTGGGGATATACCGGCGCAGCTGGCCTAATACAGGCATTGGCCTGTGGTTACTTTTTATTCGACCTTGTAGCGATGGTCCGCCATCTCGATGTATTTGGTGTGCCTATGCTAATACATGCTGCAAGCTGTTTTGCTACCTATAGTATTGGTTTCGTATGACTTCCTATACCCTGCAGTTCACGTGTGCGACTAACCTGAAACCAGCGGCCAATCTGTAACTACTATGGATGTGTATTCATGCTGTATGAACTCTCAACACCATTCCTCAATATTCACTGGTTTTTCGATAAGCTCGGAATGACCGGTACCAAGGCACAGCTATACAATGGATTGGTTCTTCTTAGTGTTTTTTTTTCGGCGCGCCTGGTGTGGGGCGCCTACGCTTCGTTGGGCCTCTATCAAGATGTTATGCTTGCATGGAAAATTCGTTCCAATACTAACATGCCGGTTGAGTCCGAAATTATGAAGTATGGATATGATAGGGCGTTACCTCTATGGCTAATTTTACTTTATTTATTTGGTCATATTGCTCTAAACACTCTCAACATTTATTGGTTTAACAAGATGCTGGATGCAGTCAAGAAACGTTTCATCCCGAAAAGTGATCATAAGAGAAATTGAATACATGAAGAAATTACAGATATAGTGCACTGTATGGGACGCTGAATCAGAAATGAAAAATCCCTACATTTTGCTTGCATTAGGCGAATACGGATCTGTAAACCATTGAAATATTCACAAAGATATTTGGCCTCACGCCTCGGTGCAATTCGAATCACTCTCATCATGAAACAAAACCTGGATGAAGCAAAATTTATACATCAGTCATTTTCTAGGTCTACTTACAACATTATGGTGATAATTAAACACGGAGAAAATTTAACCTCTTTCTGAAGGATTATATCTGCTACACCCTATGAGCCGGGCATTGTTTTCAACGCCGATCACGAGGAAGTTAACAAAATTGCATTGGAATTATAAATTATATCGATGATACAAATGAAAATAAAACCCCCACGGCTGCCTCCAAAAAATCCCTCATTACTATCGACATAGTTGGAATTTGACTCAATACCATCTTCCATTTAGATAGGGGTGATGTCAAAGTTACAAATAGTCACAATTATGACATTAAAAAACATGAAGGCTGCTGTTTTTAAATTAACTGATCTTTCATAAAATCTTCGAGTAGGCTTGTGTAAGCCTCCAGTTTTGACACTTCGCTGTTGTACGGTAGCAGAGGTGAACCTGAGTATTTTCAAGCATTTATAAAAGTACAATATTGATCTGGGAATGATTTTGACATTTATCCCCAGGACTGACAAGTTAATTGAAATAATTTCACGCGTTCGACTTTCATCTTTCATTCCGAGAACTATGATTAATTCTAAGGTAAGGGTATGTCTAACGTATCCAGAAAGACTGGTCAATAATGATTACGTAAGGATAAGTATCATCATGATGTTATTACCTAGAGCCTCTCACTTATTTTGAAGTACAAATAAGATCCCATGTTGAGTTTGAAAGAATTAATTCTCGGAATATAACACTAAATTTTAGAAAATTTAAAAATCTCGTAACGTGACATAAGTCGATATTCGGAAGAGTGTAGATTAAGTTGCTCGTTGGGACGGCACTTCCAAAAAGAGCCAATCATCCGAGGATTACAAGCCACAGTGTGTTGAAACTGCAATTTACTAATATCTTTCAGTCGTATGTTATGATTAAGACAAGCTGAATGGGAATAATAATCCTTACCGTGTAATTTTAGACTTTGAAACTGAGGCTAAAACAATAGTTTAGCCTTGATAGATAACCTTACAGTGCACAGTACACAGTATCATCTTATTTCAATGTCATAAGCAATATGAAACTATGTCTTATGCTTATTAATAAAAAAACCCAAAATCTATCTTTAAGTTTAGTGGCCGCTTGTACCGCTCTCTGTTAGTTGGTTTGTAACTTTTATCCAGCAGACCACCTTAACAATCGTTTCTAGCTGTTGTAACATGCTTGATGTCAGGAACACGTGTATTGACATTTGGATTTTTGGGGTGAAGTTACTGCTTAATGTCTCATAGAATAGCTATAGGTACACCTCATTGTGCAAGGCCTCACCAAAAATGAAACTCAAAGAGATTTCAAGTCTTAAGTATCAACATGCCCTAGCCAAGTATCATTGCCGTGCCTCAAACTTATCAGGGTAATGTGGAAAGGTTTCTGTTAAATTGTGAACACCGTTTAAGGCTCATTTGCCACCACTCAGCTTTAGGGGCGCTAGTGATCTACCGCCGAGCTGGTTAGCGCACTAAGTTCACACATATTGATAACTTAATAAACCCCGACTTAATCGATGACTAAGCGTAGTGGGCCACCGAGGGGTTTTACATATTACCGACAAAAATCCCTTGAAGAATACCACCACTCTTTATCACACCCTTTCGTCCTACCGTCTTTTGCCACCTGCGGCTGAGACCCTGTATAAACTTTGATTTTTACCCCAAATCACACACAAGAAGGTTATTTCACACAAGAATTCCTCGCCTCAAAATTTCTGCTCGCCGACAAGATATAGAGAAGTCTGCTAATCAGGTAGGTTAGCAAAATGTTTAGACATCGGAAATTTGTCTAGCAAATTAAATCCATAACTTACTCAGAATCAGTGATCCCTCTTCAACCACTTGGTACTACTGGTCTCGAAGATCTAACAAACCTGCCATTTTAAGGCGCTTCACTATTGCAGAGTCTTTAATCGTCCCACTAATTCATTCTAAACGCAAAATGCCTTCAAAAACTGAAGGATCCCCCTCGCGTGAGGAAGAAATACTGGGTCTTATTGACACCACATTTACTGCCAAGACCTCCGAATTATCTATTTCTGCAGCTTATGCACTATGTGACATTTTGCATAAATCAACTGGTTTCCAGGGTCTCATAAACTACAAAATACTGACAGAGATAAAGAAGGCGTCCATGGATAAAAAAAGTGCGGTACGACGAGAAGGTGCTCAAAATCTCCTAGGCGCGTTATTTGAGCGCATTCTTCCCCAACAAAAGATGAGTGAGTTTGTGCTTTTACAATTGGACGGAGGTATGGTACCTTGTGCGCTAGATGCACTTGCAGATAAAGTTTCATCTGTCCGTGACGCTGCGCAGTATGGACTTGACGAACTATTCAAAAACTTGAGTCCTGAGGCACTTGTAGTTGGGCTTCTTCCCATCCTTTGTACCTATCTCGAAAAACGGACAGGAAAATGGCAAGCTACTGTATTCGCTTATAAGATGCTGCAAAAAATGGCTGAAAAGGCCAAGATGGAGATAGGATGCAGCAAGAAAGAGGCTAACGATAGGGATATTCTAAGAGAAGCTATGGGCACCAAGCTGGCTGGTTTGATACCTGTCGTGGAAACCGGAATGCACGACTTGAAGAGCGAAGTTGAAAAACAGGCTGTGGCTACCATGACTGCACTAACTTCGCTGTTATCAAACGACGATGTTGCTCCTCGAATTCCACTCTTAATTGAAACCATGCAAAATCCTTCGACTGAAACTCTACAGAAAGCAATCCATGCTCTATCACAAACTACCTTCGTGGCTATTGTAACATCTCCTGTGCTCGCTCTTCTAACTCCTTTACTCGAGAGATCTCTCAACACTCCTACCACAGCTCAAGAAGTCCTTAGACAGACCGTCGTCGTTGTGGAAAATTTAACAAAACTCGTACACGATCCTGTCGAAGCCAGAACTTTCTTGCCAAAATTGAAGCCTGGTGTGAAAGGCGTCAAAGACCGTGCCTCACTCCCAGAAGTTCGACAGCTGGCTGAGCGTGCACTCTCAGTCATTGATAAAGCCATAGGTGACGATAACGGAGTAAAATTGGATGGATCAATATCCCCTGTTACTTCAGGTGATGTTGCTAAAGTACTCGACTCCGAGATTGCGAAAGTTAGTGGCAAAGTTGGTGATCAAGATACCTTCAAACTAGCAAAACCATACATTTGTAACATGATTGTAGAAAACGTTCACCACCGTCAAATATCTCGCATTTCAAACTGCCTCTTGCCATATCTCCAAAATTGTATTACTGAGGAAGGATTGGCAGAAAAAATCGCAGCAGGAGTACAACAGTTTTATATGGATGAAGACCATCGAAAGTTTGGCCAGCCAATACAAGAGGAGGATGGCGAAGTTGAGATTGTTAACGCCGACTTTTCTCTTGCATACGGAGGGATGCTTTTACTATCTCATACTAACCTTCGCTTACTCAAGGGCCACAGATATGGACTATGCGGCCGTAACGGCGCTGGAAAGTCTACCTTGATGCGAAGTATTGCCAGTGGCAAGCTTGAAGGCTTTCCACCTCAAGATGTTCTCCGAACCTGTTTTGTCGAGCACAACCAGGGCGAAGACGCCGATATTAGCATCCTAGAATTTGTTGCAAAGGATCCTGAAATTGGAAAAGCAGGGCTGACCCGTATTTCAGAAGTACTGTCCGAGGTAGGCTTCACTTCAGGCCCCGAAGGTCGTCAATCAGAAAAAGTTGGCTCCCTATCTGGTGGATGGAAAATGAAGCTTGCCCTGGCCAGAGCTATGTTGATGAAAGCCGATGTTCTTCTTCTAGACGAACCTACCAATCATTTAGATGTGGCCAATGTAAAGTGGCTACAAGAGTACCTGAAGTCTCACACTGAGATTACATCATTAATCGTTTCTCACGACTCTGGATTTTTAGATGAGGTTTGTACCGACATCTACCACTATGAGCCTGGTAAAAAGCTTGCTTGCTACAAAGGAAACCTCGCAGCATTTGTTAAGCAAAAACCGGAAGCGAAAAGCTATTACACACTGTCTGCTTCCCAGGTTCAGTTTAAGTTCCCACCTCCTGGTATCCTCACTGGTGTCAAGTCCCAAACTCGCTCTATCCTCCGAATGACTAACTGTTCCTACACATATCCAGGTGCTTCGAAACCATCCCTACATGATGTCTCATGCCAACTTTCTCTGTCTTCTCGAACGGCTATCATAGGGGGCAATGGAGCCGGAAAATCTACTCTCATCAAACTTCTCACTGGCGAAACTATTCCTACGACAGGACGCGTTGAAAAGCATCCCAACTTGAGAATTGGCTACATTAAGCAACATGCACTTGAGCATGTAGAAATGCATCTCGAAAAAACTCCAAATCAATACCTTCAGTGGCGATATGCTAATGGCGATGATCGCGAGGTTCACATGAAGCAAACGCGCATTCTATCTGAGGAAGATAAAGCACAAATGAACAAGTGGATCGACCTTGATGGAAAAGGAGGAAAACGCATTGAGGCTATCATGGGTCGACAAAAGTACAAGAAAACCTTCCAGTACGAGATAAAATGGCAAGGCATGCTTCCAAAATATAACAGCCAGATTTCTCGTGAAACTCTTATCGATCTTGGTTTTAACAAGCTTATCCAAGAATTCGACGATCATGAGGCTTCTCGCGAAGGGCTCGGCTTTCGAGAATTATCTCCAAAAGTAATTAGTAAACACTTCCAGGATCTTGGACTTGATCCCGAAATAGCAGATCATAACGAAATAAGCGGTCTATCTGGAGGACAGAAAGTAAAAGTGGTATTGGCAGGCGCCATGTGGAATAATCCGCATCTACTTGTCTTGGACGAACCGACTAACTTTCTAGACCGTGATTCGCTCGGTGGTCTAGCTGTCGCGATTCGTGACTATAAAGGTGGTGTGGTTATGATTTCTCACAATGAGGAATTCGTTGGTGCGTTGTGTCCTGAGCAGTGGCATGTCGTTGCTGGCCGCGTCACGCACAAGGGCCATCTCGCCGTCAGCAATGATCGATTCGAGGATAGCAGACCAGGAACAGCGTTTAACAGCAGTGTTACAAATAGTGTTGTCAGCAGTGCCAATGTCAGTGCTGTCAATAGCGGCGTTGAAGATAACACCGACATGGCTTTCCGTGCCAAAAAGAAGAAGAAGATGACCAAGAAGGAATTGAAGGAACGTGAAGTTCGTCGACGTTTGCGACATATTGAATGGTGAGAATATAATATCCCTCTTCCTTAGATAATACCCGCTAATGAAGGCTCCTTGTAGGCTCAATTCGCCTAAGGGCACACCTCATCCCCCGGACACTGATGATGAATCCTAGGGCTGCTTTTCTAACACTATAAGACGGATTTATTTGGGCGTCAACTTATTTGCTCACATGCACTCGGGTCCCAAATTGGGGTCTCCTCTGTAAAGGGTTTGTCAGGTAATGATACCAATTTCTCTCTAGAACTGAAAATTCTACGAAGAAGGGGTGCAAGTTTATGCAGCAACAACCAATTTGATTCACCTAGTATGTGGTAACGAGGTTGCATCACGAAAAGGGCGAGGAACTTCGACTAATGGGGTTGGCAGGCGTTACCGCTTAGTGAGAGTCTGAGGCGTTATATGTGTTTGGCAGGATCTGAATATGGATTAGATAGATTTCATACGGTCATGTGGTCATACACTCCGACATCAATAATGATTACATATTAACTAGATTGTTCGCGCCGAAAGACTCGTTTTATTTCAGTCTTGGCTCTGGCGTTTCCTATGCGCTTTCAATCGTTCAGTGGAGATCCTTTCGCAGTCTACTAGCCATCAAAGTATTCCATGCAACTTTTGACTGTGCATTGACAATCGCAACCACCAGGGCAAAAACAGGACCCATCGGCAATGTACGCAGCGAGACAATCGACATGATTAACACAACCACAAGCCAGACAAGGGGCAAAGAGAGCGCTAACAGGCTCTAGGCAAATAGTGCACCGAAGTTGGCGCTGCGTCAACTTGCACTGCTCACATCTTCCAACTGCATCGCCCTCAGTACTGTTTGGAAGACGCTCGAGACTACACTCATGTTTAATACAATATCCAATAACGTTGAGACCGGTGTGGGCCGAGATAATCGAGCCCTCTAGCCCAGGAGCTGGCGTCGCCGGAGTGGATTTGAGTACTTCTAAGCGACCGATTGGGTATCCCCAAAGGTAAAGTAACTCGGCATACAAAGCTCGATAATGTAAGTAGCGTGAGGAATGATTGCTGTTTAAAAGGGTTGTAGTCGCATGGCCTTCTTTGTCAAAATGTCCCTGCAGATCCCGGTCTTGTATCACCTTAATGCCAGTGCACGGTCTGGCCTTAGAAGTAATCTGAAGTGCCGAAGATATCAGTGGATTTTTATTCTTATCATCTACTAAGCGGCTTGGAACGGTAGCATTGCCCCAAGTGATGGAACTGGGAGCAAGAGAAGATAATATTTGCTCGACAGGCGATATTTTCTTACGATTAGCCGCAGGCTTGGGTGGCGACGTGGATGACGAAGCAAACCTAGAAAAGTTTGCAGCAAAAGTTGAAGCAAGCCCAACTGAGGATTGGATGGATCTGAAAGTCTTACCTGAAGCTTCAGGAGAGACCGAAAGGCTTTGCGACTTACAGTTTGTGGGTAGTGGCTTCGGCTGAGTCGAAATTAGAGACGCATCACCACATTGACATTCTAGAGCGGGGTTAGAAATCCATGTCTTAGAAAGCGAATCAGCAGATACATCCCGTCCCGAAGATCTTTGGAACAGTTTGGGCGTCGATATTCCCGATCGATAAAAAATTCTTTCCAACATACGATGATTTGTAGTATCCTTGGAAATACGATCGAAGTTATCCGTCATCTCCATCGATGAAACCTGTGGTTGTATTCTCACTGGTTTGGTGGCTTGATCTTTGGTCGGCGATGGTTCACAGAAGATGCAAGATAGTAAGGCAAGCATCTGGATATCGGCTTTTCTTTCAAAGTGATCAAAAATTTTATCAATCAACGGCGCTGCAAGAGGATGTTTGCCCCAGTTTACGCGTCTCAAGTAGCTACTACGCCATTTTATGATATTGCACGATACATTGGAGAAATTATTGGTGTGGAAATAAAAATTGCTTTGAACTGTCCTATCAGCGTGCGTATAGATTGTTCCGCGGTCATAAACTCGCCCATTAGATTTCAGTGTGAGTGTATTGTGAAGAATCGTAGCTGCATATCTCCATATTTCTGCAAGATCTTGGTGGCCATACTTCTCAGCTATAGTCGCATTGTGTTCACATACTTCTGAGCTTTTACCAAAAATAACGTAATCTCTGGCAAACTCAATCTTACTTGGAATTATATCTGTGATTGAATAGAAAGCTATTGTATTTTTAGGTCTGGTCTTTCGCTTGCCAGTACCAGAGCCAGCTGCTGCTGCACTAGAGGCTAAAGAATCCGTTGTTGGAGGGTTAGATTTCAGCGAACGAATATGTTCATTCATGTATTTCAAAAAGAGTGGTCGCTGACATTGAATGGAGCTATCAGAGTCGCTCGAATCAGAAGATTTGTGATCTGAATCTCCGAAGTCACTTAGCACATCGAAAGCAGTCGATGAATCTATAGTCTTTGACCCAACCGGTGTAATTTCACTCGGAAGTCGACCAAAACTTCCCATAAATAAGTTACCTTTAAGGCGAATTTTATTTCTGGCAGCCACAGTTGCCAGAAGGGATTTCACTTTATCTTCTTTTGGAGGAAAAAAACAAACGAGCTTTCCACTTGCAGAAAAGGATGCACCACATAGCCGAGGGATGGGGATGTTTGCATTTCTGTTAACAGGTAAAATTCTATCGCTAGTACTTGTATCAAAATCATCAGAAAGAATGAAAGAGTCACCGACAGCGAAATTGTCCTCATCATCGCTAAAGCTCTCTTCTGAGAGTGATAGCGTCTCGTTCGAAAAATCGGCTTGCACGCAAGATGTGGAAAATTTGAGATTAATGTCCCCAAGAAGGTAGCGGAAAATAGTTTCTAGACATCCCTGACCCCGAGCTGCAAAACTATTTGCTATATGCATAACATCTCTCCTTATTTTGGAATGGGTCAAATTTGACATCAAAGAGCTCTTGCTGATAGTGAAGATGGGTGGTTTAGTTCCAGGGTATGACGGTGGGAAAATAATGGTAACTTTAGTATAAGCTAGACTTTCGTCCTCTGCCCATGGCCCATTCAAGGAGGCAACTACGGTACGCTTGTCCATGTCTACACGATCAAAAGTGATCGTGGAAAGCTCACTGTGGATGCGAATTATTTCGTCGTGCAAACTCTCCTGTTCTTCCCACTCTCTATTATCATTCCATTCCTGAGGACTTGGTGACAAATACCTTGGATAACTTTTAGATAGTAAATGGTAGGGCTTAAAATTCCTAATACCGCTCATCCAGTCAACATTTTGCTGAATTTGGTATTCTCGTACGGTTCCATCGTTTACTTTCATGGCAATGTTATGCTTAGCTTTACGTGTAGTGCTTGACTTCGTTATCTTTGGGGCAAACATTTTTTTCGCCCCATCTCCAAGAGATTTAATTTTTGGGGCATAACTCGTTGACTGCTGCAAAGTGATAGTTGGAACTTTTTTTTCCACGATATTTTTCTCAATAACCCGGAATGTTTTATAAGCAGCTCCTTTCCGGGTAACATTTAAATTTTTGTGGGCCTGAGTCCCCCTGACATACCCAACTCCCGCAAGAACACTAGGGCCAACTGTTTGAAGTCGTAGTTTGTTATCATCGCCCCAAGAGACAAGTTGAAACTCCCGAGCATCGGTGCCATCATCTAAAATATCTCCTCTACTTCGCCATAAAAATTCTTTAAGCTTAGCATTGTGGCAACCTTGAAACACCTTGACAGCTTTGTCACAGCCGTTAACTCCGTCCTCGTTAGCCACCCTTTGATCGTAGAGGTGTAGATCTCCGGGTGCGTCTTGTGGCATTGCCAAAATTCCATATCCAAAGGGAGTATGACGAGCCCGCCATACGGGGAAATTGGTGTGTATGACACGTTCTGGTTCATCAAAATCTCTAGTATAATCCCAAAATTTGATGGTCTTGTCCAAAGAGCATGTCACAACTTTTGAGCAATCTATTCTGTTCCAGTCTACTCCATAAATTTTGGATGCATGTGCATCGATTGACTTTACAGGCGTAGCACTATTACGATCATCCCAAATTCTAAGCCACTTATCATGAGATGAAGCGATTATATGAGAGTCTTGTCGGTTGTATTTGACCTGAGTTGCTCCTCCAAACCAATCTGTGTAAGTTATGACAGGCTTCTTTGGCCGCCTTAAGTCCCACGTGTGCACATAACCGTCAACAGCACATGTGGCGAGAATATCTGGGTGATGTGCTGAAAAATTAATGTCGGTTATGGCCCTTTTGTGGGCATAGAGAGTATGCTCGACACAGCCATTTGCATCTCCATGTTTATTAAGGTTCCAGACGAGTGCTTTTTGATTGGCTGTGCTTACTACCCAATAATCTCGAGCTGCGAATGGTGACCATTGTACATCAGCTACAAGCCAAGGGAGCCCATTTCGAAAATGTCGAGGGGGTTGAAGAGGATTTTCAAGATCAATTATATCCAGACCATCGGTACTTGAGCATTTAATTAGCTAGTAAAATTATCGGCCGGAAGTCACCTACGATGCAAGAACAACATCACGACCAGATGGAGAGATGCTTGCTGATCCAACGATACGATCTACATGAATTGATATATTTATATCAAAAGTTGTGTTATGGAATGTAGACTTCGAAGATCTGCTTGTTTTTGAGATGTCCATCGAGATAAAGTTGCATTTTCCTCGGTTTAATGAAATCCAAGAAAAATTTCAGATTCTCTTTCAGATCGCTAAGTTTATTGCGGATTACTGAAACAGTTGTAGATCAAGATAGGGTAGGAGGTTTAAATTTTTCTCACTAATGGAGAAGAATGGGATAGTCTGAGCCATGGCTGCGATTTCTTATTAAATTTGCGAAAAATGTGTATGTAAGGACGAACTGGACGCTCTTCTCAGAAGGTGCTAGGCGTCAAACCTATGTTTTGGATCAGGTTTGCTTTAACCTATTAGCAGCATTATGATTGGTGGCACATAGATTTAGCTAGTTTTGTAGATGCAACAAGATATACTACAATGACAATAAATATTTTTAAAATATCTGATGAGTTGGTTCCTGAGCCGTATTGTGTTGTTTCAGATTGTCTCATGAATGCAAATGACGGTGGGACAGCTCAGCCCATTCACACCATTCTCTAGACATTAGTTTCCCCTACTTCAACCCACCTCAAAGCAGCAGCTCAAGAACAATCAATAGTTACATTTCCCTATCTGTCAAGCCACTGTTGGCTAGTAGTTTGTTGGCATGATGTCTCTACCCAAACGAATAATTAAAGAGACTGAAAGACTGAGCGCCGAACCGTGAGGCGGCCATGGTTGCACGCTGCAAACCTGTTGCTAATATAGATCACTACAGTGTACCTGGTATCAGTGCCTCTCCTCATGAAGATAACCTACGATATTTCGATGTATCGATACATGGGCCAAATCAATCCCCATACGAAGGTGAGAAGGTTGAAGCTAAGATGAAGATGATTATATGTTAACACATGCACAGGTGGAATCTTTAAACTTGAGCTTTTCCTTCCCGAGGACTATCCCATGACACCGCCAATGATACGGTTTCTCACAAAAATATACCACCCAAACATCGATAAGCTTGGACGAATATGCCTCGACGTGCTCAAGGGCAAGTGCTGGAATCTTTCATGTAAGGGCTCTACAATTATTAACTGATACTATTTGCCAGGTAATTGGTCCCCAGCTCTTCAAATTAGGACAATTCTTCTGTCAATTCAGGCCCTTCTAGGCGCGCCAAATCCCGATGACCCCTTATCAGCTGAAGTTGCGAAGAAGTGGAAAGAAAACGAACCGGCTGCTATTGAAATCGCTAAAGAATGGACCCGAACATACGCAATGGAATAAATCATATCTCTCACGTCTATTGGTCAAAGAGAAATACCAAAAAGAAATTTGTGGAATTTTCAGCGTGAAATCATTACAATATCAACTCTGGGCTAGGAACTTGGTCGATTTTTCATAGAATATGCCTGTTCAGCTAAAAACGATGGGTAGGCCGGCAGATTTATAGGTGGATTGTCTCAAACTTACAACACCCACGCAGTTTACAGCAAAAATTTTTCAGGTACGTTCTTGTGCCAATTTTTCCTCTCATATTCAACTGCTGTGATATACACATTGCTGGATGGGAATTACTTAGATGATTTAAAAATAAGTCGACCGAACTCTATCCTCTCTGACCTTCAAATAGGAAAATTCTGTACCGATGGCTTTTGACTTAAGCAGAATAACGTACATTATTGCATCTAAATTTTTCCTAAATAACCTTGCTCCATCTTAAATATGTCTTCACTTGAGAATTCCCCTCATTCCAAAGACTACAAGTGTAACTACCTTTCTGTTTAAAACAATTTGTTTATCAATCGTGCTAGAGTGATTCCTCTAATAAACCAAATATGCGCGAAGAATTACACAAATAATCTATTGACTTATGTTGTTCCAAAATATCAAATTGATTAGGCTCATTGTCAATGGGAAAGGCAGTTGAAAAGAGCTAAAAACAAGTGCACGCTTCTGCGTGAAAATTTTTCATCAAATAGTCACTATTGACACCTCCAGAGGTGTCTTATTCTTAGAAGAATAACTCTGATTTGGAGTTTAATCGAGATAGAGTCTTCTTACGGGACTTCGAGCCTGTAGAACCGTTACACGCTCCATGTTCTAGATAATATTTGATTTAGACGACTGATTTCATGGAATGATGACAGGGCTTAGAATGATGGATTACTATTAGCATTCAGATCTTACAGGCCTGAGTCGGGAAAGGTAACGTAACAGTGAAATACGAGCATGTACATAATAAAGCGTAGTCTACAGTTGAGTTGCCTTCTTCACGCAACATCTTCTAAATATTATTCTCATTCTAGATATTCTATCTCTTCTTGTGGAAGACCTTGACTCTCAATTAACTCACTTGTACCCTATGAACAAATATCATACACACTCCTCGAGAAGTGACTAGGGAAGATTGATACAATAATTGTAGTCACAAGAGTACTAGAACATGATTGTGTAAGTAACCCTGAGAATCTAATTTCCTACTATAGTTCTAATTTGTAAGGTTCAATCTTGTAAAGTTGTAGACATCTGTCGACTATATCATATACTCTGATACGGTGGAGGCGAAGGCTGGTTCCTAACTCAAACATTCCGTTTGCACTATCAACTTAACGGCGAAGCTCTCAATTAATGGTTTTAATTTGCTTAAATTGCTGATAAGGATGGTCGACGGTTACTTCCATTTGTTTCTAATTAAATTTTCGAACAGAAATTTGCTAAAAGTCTTAACTACCTTGATATGACGGCATCGCTTTACTCAACAAAAAACTCCACAATAGTGGTAATGTTCAGTCAGGGTTCTCATGACAGATACGTTGGACACAATTTTACGTTGTAAACGTTGACTGAGGAGCACTATATTTATTTGTGTCGCTATCCACCTTAACCAACTGTCGGCAGAACATTTGAGAATACCTGATCCGTTGGCTCTTTTTTTAAATCATTTAATGTGTTTTCAGCTATCTAGCTATGACACATGACCGGTGCTATGTGTACATTGAGGATGGCTCTTGACGTCAGAGACACTCATACTCTGTATTTCATTCGCAAATACCACTATAAGTTATGCTTGCTTACACAAAAAGTCGACCCTCCTCCGTAAGTACCCACCAAAGGGAATTTCGAAACCTTTGGTGATCCAAGCATGCCTTCGTCATCCATGTATACCAGCGCCGCGAGAAAAGTGGTTATGTTTTGCTGGATCTGAACCAGTAATCTACTGTCTCAAATGGGATATGTGTCCAAGCTATCCAGACTCAACTTGGCAGACCAGCCAAGACAATGTACCACCGCACCATCCAACCATGGCAGTTTTTACAGTGTCGCCTTCACTCGATCCGTTGGCTCACCTTAGCTAGACGCGCATTCGTACTTTTAGTCAGATCTTGACTTAGCCAATTGGAACAGAATAGCTATAAATGTTGGTATGTATGTCATTTACCAGGCGCTTAGTGCAGTGCATCTCTCTGTTGCTGAGTCATTGTCTTGATGACCCAGCCAACACCGCGAACTGGACGTTCGCAGTGTTCATAGATAGAAACAATAACAACAAGAATCAAAACCTCACTTTCGTACCTTTCGTTTTGCACTGAACTAACCTTACGTATGCGTAAAATAAGGCCAATCGACAATAAATCTATATACTAACATGTGGAATGCGGTCTTCCACAAGGCTCACCTGCCTCGCCCATCCTATTTATGCTCTACATTTCCCCGCTCTTCAAGATGGGAATGAAGAGGAAAAGATTCGGCTATGCAGACGATGTTGCTCTCTTTGAGACAGGGCCCAACCTCTTGAGTAACTGCACAGCTCTCTCTTACTCGCTGGCTGAAGCAATAGAGTGAGGGGAAAGGGAAGGCCTTAATTTGGACCCAGAAAAATCGGAACTACAACACTTCTCTCGAAAACGGGCTGATCGCGACTCTTTGTCAACCCCTTCCGTCTCCTACAGAGATAAAAGGGTCTCTGAAGATCCAAATAAACCCCACACGCGCTGGCTAGGGGTCCAATTTGATCGAACCCTCTCATTTAAATGGCTTGTCCGTATAATAGCTGAGAAGGCTTTTAAAGTTGCCAACGCACTCCGATCTCTCAGCAACACCGTCCGAGGAGCACCCCCCCCCAACTTATCCGACAAGCCATCTTAGCTTGCACACTTCCCATAGCCTACTATGGCGCTGAGACTTGGTGGCCAGGCCGCACCAGATACAGCAATAGACTCATCTTGATTCTAGTCGAAGGACACCTATCCACCCTCCGCAAAGTTATTCTAATGGGGGCCAGAGCTATCCTACCTGTGTATCGGACTACGCCAATCCCTATTCTGTACCGCGAACCAGGTCTCCTCCCTCCTGATTTAGAGATGGACTCTAAATCAAAATTCGCGGCACTGCGGATCCAACGCCTGGACCCCAGACACCCACTCCGGCAAAGAGCCATATGGATCCGGGCACACAATCGATGAATCTCCCGTCTTGGGGGCTGGGTTCTCCAAATTCCGAACACTGAAGCAATCGACCCTCTGATTTAGCCGCCATGGCTCAAAAGGCAAACACGGCATAATAGTGTAAGGCGAGTTACGCACCCTCCCATTTATCTCCCTTCTGGCATCCCTTTCAGAGATCTAGCAGTCTATACAGTTGGCGCTCGATCTGAGATAGCAGAATTGCCCAGGACAGGCGGTGGAATCGTTATCTTTCAAGCTGGTCAGACGGTTTACCGCGAGAGTCTGTCCCTTGACTCGACGCTGTTACCTTTCGACACAGAAGTGACCGCTGTGAAAGAAGCCCTCTAAGCTGCGCTTTCCTTACCAACAGCACGCTTCTCAGAAAATATTTGGATACTCACAGATAACTTTGAGATAGCTCGCCTTTTATTTCAGTCCCCACTTTGCTCGTCACAAGTTGTTTTTCAACAAATACAGGCTCTCTCCCAAGACTGGCCTCTCCGCATCCGGCTTCCACACATCCCTCCCGAGAAATTCAAGGCATATTGGATCCCAAGCCACTGGCATATTAGGTAACGTTTTGGCCGACGCCTCTGCTCGGGAGGGGCTTTCAAAAACCCCGCCTATACCCCGTGGGTACGTTTCTTGTGATACCGCGAAAAATCGCATCAAAGCAGAAGTATCGACGGCTATGAAAGACTACTGGGACCGATACGCCCCAGTTTCCTATAGGGAGCTTGCCATCGACTGATACTCTTGTCACCCTAAGGAACTCTCACTAGCCAGACCGTTTCTCTCTAGACAATACGCTGCCAGCTCAGGACATGGTGACTTTGCAGAATACCACCACCATTTCAATCACGAGGGCGCTAACTTTCATTGTGGCTGCGGACAGCTCAAAGCCCTATTGCACTTCCTAGAGTGCCACCTAACCACTCACAGACTCCCTCGAGCTCCAGCATCTTCAAGGGACCCAAAGAAATTTTTGCTAGGAACCTGGGAAGGGGTCCTACGTGTAGCAAAGTGGCTTTCTCTTTCTGAGTTTTATATAAAGACCTGCCCTAGAAATCCCAGAGAAGAAATAAACAGGCCTTAAACTCTGCCATAACTTTGAGCCTCGCATTATGGATGGTGCGGTATTTTTGAATGGATCTATTTGTAGAATCCCGAGAGTGTTTGTAATACATCAAAGGAGTAATGAGCCTTGGGGACTGGCTGTAAAAGTGCAGGTGCTACGCTACATGCAATCATGTAATTAGAGGATTGCCCTGCAAACCTAGTTAGGAAGTAGCAAGGGCGAAGCCACCAGGGCAGTAAGCACTGGCATCCATGCCTCTTGGTAGTTTAGTGGGTAGTAGGGACCTAAGTCAAGCTTGGCGCCCCAACTGTCGCCGGATCAATTAGTGTTGGTATACAGCAAAGCAAGTCCAGAATAAAATTAGTTAATTAACGAAATCTAGAGACGGAAGGTCTTCTACATCTTGCTATTTACATAAGGGATTTTAATTAACGACGTTGATCATAACAGCCTCCGTTGCTTAGCAACCGTTTCCAATCTCCATCCTTGGTAGTCTCTATATCTGACTAGACCCTAGATTCCATTTATACCGTTCTGGCGCAGACAGTACACACACAAGGGAGTATTCCGTCCCACCAGGGAAAATCATACTGGAGGGTAATCGACTTCGACTGTCAGTCAGGCTCAAAACTCTGGATGACCGCCATCCGCTGATGATCCGTGCCGCTGTGTGCCCAAATATCGGCACGCGGAAATACAAGAAGAGAAATCGACCAACTTCGGTTCCTTAAGTAATAATGTCACGAGTACAGCGGGCGTACCGAAAATTACCAGAGGCAGAGCACGCGGAACCACTGCCGCCTACATCCTACTTACCGAAAGCAGGGTCTAAGGAAGAACAAATGGAGATCTGTAGACAATGGATCAACCAGGTGCCGAAGTCGGAAATTTGTGCCTACTCGGATGGCTCATCGGAAGGGAATGGACGCTCTGCGTGGGGTTTCGTTCTAAAGAGAGACGGGCAGACTTTGCTCACGGGAAGTGGCATCAGGCATGGGGGTGAGGCTTTGGATGCGGAAATCGGCGGGGCAAGGAAGGCTCTTCAAGCAGCATTGAGACTTCAGAGCGCGACAAAGCGAGTCTACCTCCTCATGGATAGTCAGCAGGCGATAAACGCACTTGAGACAGACAAGTCCACGACAAGCCTCGATGAAATACGGAAATTTCGGGAGTTGTCCAAATCAGCTCGCGTGATAATTAAATGGGTTCCCGGGCACTCAAGAATCCAGGGTAACTTGGAAGCCGACTCGGCCGCCAGGTCTGGCCTACGAATGCTGCCTAGCCCGAAAATACAGCCAGAATCCATCACTCTGGCATTTCTTTATGGCCAAATGAATCGTCTGCGGCAAGCGTTACTCGACGAATGGTGGAACGAAGCTTGCCCGCTCCGGTATCGCAAGCTCGACCTGCTCATGCGACGAAGAAAACCACCTGAGCTGGGACTTTCGAGGTTCCTACTCCGAAATCTGATTGCAGCTCGTACGGGCCATCGCAATTTCGCTGCGCATCATCGCCGATTCAACAATCCGGACGTTCTAATGGAGTGCACCTGTGGGTAGGAGACCACTCCTACCCATTATATTCACTGTCGACTACACGCTCACGTCACGCGTCGACTCAGAGGAGGATTGTCACATAGTGGCTTTATCCAAAAACTTCTCGGGCCAAAGTGTCCCGAAAATTTCAAAAACTTTGTTAAGGAAATCTGCTGTTTTGGGTTGTCATCTACAAATTCGTCCTCTGATCTCATCGAGGAGCATATTAATTAGTCATACAGATGATATGACAGGAAGGAATACAAGGCGAGAAGATTTGTTTTCTGACCGGAAATTGGGAAATCTGCAGGGCTGTATAGTTTTGTGGGTAGGAGTTTGGTTTCAAAGGTTGAATTTATGTACGGTCGCGAATTTTTAACTAGCTACTTATTGTTTAGTGGTTCATGCGGTGGGATCAAGTTGGGCTTATCAGGGATATGATCTTGGCTGTGAACATCGGTCTTTGACCTTTAGGGGATAACGGGTATAGCCTAGGACCTAAATTAATATACAAACAAACAAACGCACTCACAATTTTTTGAAATTTGAATATTCACCTTTTCCCCGTCTCCCTCCCTCTCGCGCTCGTCGCATTCCTTCAATAATTTGTCATCGAGTCGCTGGCATTTTAACCATGCCACCTGTTCGTAAAAAGCGTCCCAACGCCAAGTTGGACAACACGAGAGTCCGCCCGAGGGCTCTCGAAAAATTACCTGACCTTGCCCAGACTCCGAAATGCGCGGAGATGAGCAAGGTCTCAACTAAAGGGAAGGAAAAAGCCCTCCCCCCCGTCACTGAGCCCGATACTGACATGATCGGGTCAGTTGAAATTGTTGAGGAATTTCCCCAACCATCCTCCGTCCCTCACGGGACTGGAGAATCATCAAAATCTCCTCCGACAGCGTCAAAACCGTCGGAAAACGCTGCAGTCAAAGCAGCACCAAAATCAACGTCGCAGCCAAAAGCTGCCACAAAAGCAGAGTGTCCCCTAGAGCTTCGACCAATCGTCGAAGCTGAACAACGACGTGCCGCCGAAACAGCGGCAAATCTGGCCCTCTGTTCCGCCGCCATCTCTGGCGTCGAAGCCACCCTCCTCCCTTTGACCAACGGGTCAAATAGACAATTCGTAGACTCGATGAGAGTCTACTTACGCGCCGCCATTGCGCAATACATGGCCATGGGCCCGGCAATCACGCCACCCGTCCTCCCTCCTCGCCCTGCGAACCCGACCCCAAGGGCTCCAGAAGCCAGGAGCAATACAATTCCCGCCGTCCCAGTGCTGCCTGTACAAGGCACCTGGGCCACGGTGGCCAAAAATGGACTGCGACAAAATGCAGCTCCTATAGCAAAGGCTGTGCCGCGACCTGCGACGAGAGCCCAAAAGAAAGAAGCTCCCAAGGCGAAAGTCGATAAGCGACTGTTCCTTCGCCTGGAAAAGGAGCACCCATGGCGGAATCTCTCAAACAACATTGTGAAAAGTAAGGTAGCGGACACGCTTAATCTCTCTTACAATGATATAACCTCGATTCATCGAGTAAAGACCGGCTTTGCTATTATAGCAAAGAACGAAAAAATACGACAAGAGATCCTAGATGTCTCTCCGAAGCTGGCTAGTGAAAACGCCAAACTCGAAGCATCTTCGGATCTTGTCACCTCACGGATACTGAACGTACCTGTAAGTATCGTTTCACAGTACGGCCCCGTAACGACAAATGCTGCAAGTGTCACCGCTGAGATCTTCCTTACGACCAGCGCGTATCCAATCCAGGTCCGACCTCATGGGACATGTCGGCCTGGATCGCCTTATCGAAACTGGCATGCCCTTTTTCACCGGGACGAAGCCCCTCGTGCGGGCTTCCGCCTTTTCGACGATTCGGGTATGGCTACCATCGATAAGCCTCGTCGATCAATTGAACAGTGTAAACGTTGTTTGGGCTTCCACGCCACTCGTGGTTGCTCCCGCGCTCCGGCTTGCTGGAACTGCGGATCAAACATGCACTCCGAAACGGAGTGCAAGGCCCTCACATGCTGTCGCAACTGTGGGGGACCTCACCGATCGGATTCTCGGGCCTGCCAAGTCAGACCAAAAAAATCCGGACCGGTGACCAAAGAGCAGCTCGCGTGGATTCGCCACATCGAACAAGGGGAGTTCGCGAAGGTGGCACGAGCCAGGGCTGCAGCAAAAAAGACCGAAGAGGCGATCATCGCCGCGGCGAAGGATGTCTCGATGGCCGAGTGTTATATTAACTAGGCTATATGGGAGCAGGACGATGGATACTCTTGGGGAAGTTATGCTCACAGTAGGTCTCTATAGTTGCTGTCACGTGTGTTCTCGTGATATGTAAGACTTGACTCTATATTCTCGTATAAACGAAACTTAGTTACAACGAATGGATGGAGGTTGAGACCTCCTTATATCTTGCTTCAGACTTACTGTGTTGTTCACAGCCTAGTGCTAGAACATTCCCTTATGATATCATTTCTCTCCTACGAGAAATGACCAGCTCGTTCCCTCTCAGTCTATCAGTCTATCAGTCTCCCACTGATTCCATTATCTCTATTCCATCGAGTTCAAGTTTGGTCCAGTATACCCACACATGCATTACACACTAAACACCCGACGGTTTAGTTCCACAGTCACGTGCATATGCTATGACGCGACCTAAAGCATGTACCATGGTAAGTTACATGGATAACACAACACCGAGGCAACAGGTTTCGGAGCTCTGGGATCTGAAGAAGTTTGAGGACACGGCAACTTCGTCAATGTCCCCTTTTGGGACATCTACTAACCAATAGCAGGATACCGGCTGGATCAAAGGTGCCTGCTAACTCATCTCTTGCTCTCAGCAGAGATTGAATAAATTTTGTTATTTGGAAGGTGTGACAGACGAGGGTATGTGTGAGGAGCGCATTTACTAGGTCCAATATTGAGGAATCTTCTGGTATTCGGAGTTGTTTTGATTTTTGTGATTTTTCGTTCCTGTTCAATCAGCTGCACTTTTGGTAGCAATTCACGAGGTTGGAACGAGTTAGGCTGTAGGAAAAGTTACAGGGAACCCTGCCGGATCCAACGGTCCTTGACCCAATGTGGAAAAGATAGCTTTGGCTTAGGACCAAATGTATAAAAAAAAAAAAAGAACGCACAATTCGAGAAATTTCAAGTTGCCCATTCCCACCCTATTATCCATCTCACCCATCATCTATTGAATCGAATTGTAATTGTTTGCCATCGGCGGCATTTTAAAATGCCTCTGACGCGTAGAACGCACCAAAACGCGATCAGCGGAATCACCAAAGATCGCGTCATCAAATCCTACCATTGCATGAATCTATACTAACTCTTGCAAGACAAAAACTTACGGAGAAAGGATTAGAGGCCTCCGAGAAAAATTTAGACAACATCGAGGCTGCACTCGAAGCTAACGTTCGCAATATACCCGAGGTAGAGATGTTAGACCTCGAAGTACAGAAGTTGAAATCTCTATCAGATTCAAAATGGGCCTCCTCCAGCCAAGAAGACGCGGAAAAAGCCCCAGGGCTCGCAATAACTCCAAGAGAAACCGTCGCAGCACCCGAAAAGCGCGCTACGGTTCCAGCACTACCGCGATTTAAGGAAGTAAGGCCCACAAAAAGGG